CATTACCTTTCAACAGCTTTTTTCTGTACTTCTTGTCCAATTCGTTTGAGTTGCACACCTCTAAGACTGTCCTGGCAAATTGATGCCAGAAGACATTGTGCGTACAAATATGTATGCTGTCCATGATTCACCATTTTCTACAAAAAAGACAAAATTGCCATTAAAAACTGGTCTGGAGATGGTATGATTCTTAAATATTGCTTCAATAAAAAGTAACTCCTCCAATATTGCTTAAGTAGAGTAAGACTTAAATGATGAAGTAGAGATTGATTGATTGATGGCAAAATTTCTATGAAATGATAAGAGTATTTTTAACTTTTTAAAACAACTCACTGCAAATTCTGGTAGATTGGTATCCATCATAACTTCCCCTTCCTCCAGAAACCCAGTGACAGATGTCTTTAATACACGAGAAAAGACCTCAATTTGATGACATGCCGTAGACACACTTGTGATTTCACCTTGATAACCAGCATCAGATATCAACTAAAAAAAGACAATATATATATTAAAAAAAATGAAGAAAAGGTCATCACTAGAGTACAAACATTAAATGTGTGAAATACTTTACACTATTTACTACAAAATAGTGTTAATTTAACAATAGAAAACAATAGAATTAGTATAATTTAGCAGTATTTAGTGGTATTTATGTTGCACAGTTTTAGTGTTTGTACTCTATCAAATAAGGTATGAAAAGGGGTGTAGTCTTGTAATACAGATTTTGACTTTCAAGCACTAGAAAATTCTCCTTCACTGTTTCCTCAAAATTAATAATTTTAAAGGTAGCTGGAGTGTGCCTTTGCATCAAAGTGAGATAACCAGTGAGGCAATAATACTTGCGAATTGTAGTCCTTCAGTATGATAGGAACTATCTRTCATCACAAGTTCATAGGKMACCTTGTTTCAATGAAAACRCACAAACCCCTCTCGAAATGGCCATGTTCCATGGACGTGAGGAGTAGACAATCACTTAAACAATGCACAACAACACATAATGTATTCAATAAGGCATTGTACTTTTATTGTGAAGTTTAACATCAGGCAATCAGGATATTGTTCTGCTAATTTGTAAAACATTGATCTCCAAGTTGGATGGGTTATCATGCTCTCTAACCATGGCGGTGTCTGGAAAACATCATACAACAACTCCTTAGTCAAACTCTACTAATTACATTTAGTTTGGTAGGATCCTAGCCAGGATTTGCAAAAGGGACCTTGTTACTGAAGTCTTCCTTATGATATTTCCCAGTATTTTTCTCGTATAAGGGAAGACTGCTGCTTTATTTGCCAAAGAAATTTCTAGTGCAAAAGCCTTTCCAAAAACAAAGGAAAAAATAGAAAAAATCTTGTGATGTAATATGACTACAAAATTTGAATTTTATCCAATATGAGTAGTTTGAGCCTTCTGGGAATGCACAGGCTTTGTCACAAACCAAATAAAATTCATATTTGAAGTTCTACTTTCTTGTGCTTAAATCTTTTGTTTGTCAGGTAAGTTCTTTGCAAAAGAAAGTTTGTTGTCAAAGTAAACAGCATTCACTGGCTTTGAAAGGGAAACAGGTGTATATTCYAAGGTGTGCAATTCAAAGATGTACCTCTCCAGCCTCTGTGAAGATAGAATCAGCTCTTTTGGGATCAAAGTGTTTTATAATCAGCATTTTAAGATGGTCTTCTACCATTTGCTCAACTTCATGTACATCAGCACCTACAAACATAACCAAAACAGCAGTTCATTAAATGTATATTATACCAAACTCAAGGGAAAAAAGTTAATGTAGTTTCCTCCCCAAGCAACTTTTTGATTTTTCGCTCTTAGGTCTCCCTGTGGAAAGAGCATGGAATTTGTTTTCCCTACATGTCCTAACCCAACCCCCTCCCCAATGGTCATCTTTTTGTCACAACACAGGAATCCCAAATCAAAAGAAAAGTGACAAAATGGAAGGTTGCCTGTGGAGGAGTCTAAGTTACATGTGTAATGCAACAACAACATTAACAACAACACTCACAACATATGCCATGCAAGAAAGTAATGCCTAGATTACGATAAAACTATGCTATCTTGATTCTCTCATCCACATTAAGTTCAGTTCAACAAGTCGCATTGTGTAAAATGGCCTTTAATTATGACAGTTTTCTTCATAGCAGCCTTGTTAACTCTACCTGTAAGTATAAGCCAGTTTGCCAATAAGTTTGCACTCTGTGCAATTCCTCTATAATTTTCTGATAACAGGCGAATAAGTTCCTCATGAGAACCAGCATTAAGTAAGTATCTTCAAAGAGAAAAATTTATTTACTTAGTAATTGCTGTTATTTTTCATGTACAAAATCATCAATGTTTTTACCTTCTTATGTGAGAAAAGACATCAGGTTCCATCACAAAATCYTTTGTGGCAAAAATTTGCTGGAAATCTTGTAGCGAGGTATCATGATCTCGCCGATCRTCAGTTGGACTGAGTGGCTTTGAACACAAACAAGGACATTCATATTGAACATGGATTAAACAGACGAAATTATCCTTTGAAAGGTGCTACATACTGGTAATTAGACAATAACTTAAGACCAAGCTGGTTTTGCATGTTTCTATGTGTTAGGGACATGGTGTGTGAAAGTCTGAGAGATCCCTACATGTTTTTACACGACCCAAAACGGCTGCAGTGGAGGCCACACTGATCTTATCTTTGGATTGACAATCAAAATACAAACAAATTCATCTAATCAGAAAGAGAGAACATCATGTTGAGAATCTAAATAAGTACGTTTTGTTATCATCAACGATTTGAAGGCATTAAATAACTGGGGCAGGAAAACGTTGTCACGAAATCTACTGTTCAGATTAGTTCAAAATACAGTAATCTTATTTAACTTGAGCTTATGACTCTGACACAATTTAAACAGTGACTTTTTATACTAATATTTCTCATTTTAAATGTACTCACAGCAGCTTCTTCCCAGCCATTTTCTGCTCCGTAATCATCCATATTATGTCACCCTTAGCGATCGTGCCTTTAGAAGCGCGATCTAACGACAAAATATTAACTTTTAAGAGAAAACTTCATCTTGTTTTTGAACACTCAAGTTGATGTACAAGTGAATGAAAGCGCCTGCAGTAACTAGAGATCAGCAGTCTGTGACAGAAGGATTGTGGGTAATAACCACAGGAAGCCCATTTGTGAATTGTGAAAAATGCTTGGTCATGCTTTGTCATTATTACTGGTTATTTTGGCGGTACCTTACTCTAGAAAATGTCGATAATTTATTAAATGATTTTTTTAATCTGTGTTTTATTGTTCCATTTCCTATCAATTTAATCTTAGTAAAATGTAATCATATGCAAGTTATATCTAAAATGGGATCTTAGATAAATTATTTAAAATGTGTTCAACCCAAAATGATTTATTTTTTTTTAATTTTTTAGAAAAACTCCTCTAAAAAGTAAGAAATCAYACCCCAAATAATTTATTTTTGGGCTTCGGGATGCCTGTGTTTGCTATAAATTCATGACGTCATGAATATGTAGGAGGAAGCKGTCCAATGAGATCACAGGGACGGATTGCGTAAGATCGAGGATGGACTTTGTCCCCTGGTTACGTAAATCTCTTGTAAGAAAGAACCACATTGTAGATTTCCAGTCAAACTACCTTACTATAAACAAGTTTCAACTTCCCAGAACGAGAATTCCTGTAGTTTTTCTATGAGATGAAACTCTGGACATCACAGCACGTCTTTCAGTAAGTGAAAAACATTGTTTGACCCAAAGAAATGCAGACTTTTTGCCAGTTTAGTAATGAAAATGGCGSCATTTTAGCTCTAAAGTGCACTCCCATGGGAAGCCGGCTCTTTCGTCTGTTTTTGTAGTAGATGCTTCATGTCATTTTTCTGTCAATGCACTATTTTTAAATTGCTGTTTAGCAGTCCCTGTTTCATTCAAGATATTTGTATTGTCGTTTGCGTTTGTTTGCTAAAAAGATATTTTKCGATCCCAGTTAAAATCGTCGTAGATTTTCACGTGCAAKGGACGATTGTGTTAAGTTACGTAACCTTAAATAAAGTTGCACAAAACTATTGTCGATTGTTGAGTTTCTTGTTGTTTTTCATAAAAGTATTTCCTTACGAAAATGTAAGATTTTCTCTCTATTTCCTTAATTCTTCATGCTCTCTTTCTATTAAGTGCAGAGTCAAAATTAAGGAAACAGTATAGTACTAAAGATATTGCTATAAGCTTCTTAAGTTAAGTTACATGAAKATATTTATAAATTTAAAAAATAAAGGAATATTTTACCATGCACTGTTCAATCATAGAGCTCACTGCAAGGTAACAGGAGCATTACAAAAGTGATCAAAGAAGCCCAAGCTCAAATATTGAAAGTTTCATTGTTAATTACTTTCAATATTGTACATCAATATTAAACATTTATGTCCTTTCTGCCAACTCTAGGCAYTGCTGGGAGAGAGTCACTCAAGCGGCATGGAGAAAGTATCCCAATGAGCTAAATCCAGGAGTGAAAACCATAGACATACTTGACAGATATGTCGACAGTGAAGGCAAGCTTCATACCARGCGTTTAATAGGAACAGATGGATTTTTACCATCGTGGGTTAATAGGATGTTTGGTTTGGACGATCTTGCTTATGCCATAGAGGAATCAGTTATAGATCCACAAGCAAAGACAATGGAATTGAACAGTAGGAATTGGTCTTTATCAAACTGGTGTACTGTGGAGGAAAAACTAGTTTATTCTCAAGATCCAGTGATGGAAGAAGTGTAAGCATTATATGAAATTTATCATTGTGCTTTTAATTTGAATTGGGTAGATTCAGGGGGGTGATTGCAGAGGGTGGATGTCCCCTAACAGATGACATGTAGCAGTACTTGTACTACCTCTTTTGCAGTGATTCCTTTGTTTTGAACCCCYCTGATATCAATGAAAGATGCCGTTAAATAAACAAACAGATGTAATTCTAAGTTATTATTGTTTGTTAGTGTATAGATCACTAAGATTTAGAACACATTTTACCTTTTTTAATATTGTTTTCCTTTTTGCAGAACAAATCTCCAACAAGAAGCTGTTATCACAGTGTTTGGAATAAGTTTTGGAGAACACTGTGAAAACTTGATTAAAACAACCATGGCAAATAATGCAGGAAAGGTAGGAAATATTGCTGGTTCTTGAATTGATTACTTATTCAAGTGGCAGATGTATTCAAACAGAAAGATGTTTTAGAAATTTTTTGAAAACTTTGTATTTTTACAAAGATCACTTTTTAGTGAGTAAATGGTGCTATTTTTGTTTTGGTAAGCTTAATCATTGGCTGATAGACCAGATGATAATTGCTTGATTGACTGATTCATTCATTGAATGACAAGCTGAAAATGTATTGATTGTACCTATGATGTTCACTTTCTTGCTTCCTTGCTTGATTCATTGATTAACAAGCTGATAATGTATTGATTACTTCTGCAGGGCAGACAAGCAATGGAAAATGTCCTAGCAATAATCAACAAAGAAGTACAAGAAATTGCCAGCAACTTAGAGCAAGCTACTCTTAGAATCAACACAGAGCTTGAGCATGCAAAACAAGGACTTGAACATGC